AGTTTTTTAAGAAAGTACGTTTTTTAAGTTAGTTTTTTAAAGAAGAAATTTTTTTTAAATTTTAATCTTCCCAATATTGGTCAAAATTCTTTATTTTAATTTAAAATAATTTGAACAATTTAATAATTGATGATTTTTACTTATTTAATAAAATAAAGTAACAAAATGACTTTGGTATTTATTACTTGCCGGAGTAAATAAACAGATTTGGCAATAGCGCGCTTGATTATACTCATTACAGAGACATGGATGAGTGTGTGAGTTTAGTATTTCTCTCTCTGTAACTATATTTTTATCCTTTTCTTATTGTTGACGCAATGTTGACAAATCTTTATTCGAATAATAAATGGCTGACAAAAGACGAGTTATAAACATAAAATTTAACTTTAAATATTTAAATATTATAGTAGTAATGTATTATTATTCAATTGTTTTTATATTTTGCAATAATCCAAGTTTCTTATATATAGTTTTTTATTCGTTAAAGTTGGAAGGTAAATATTGAAAAAAATCTTAAAAGTCTCGACAAAAGTTTGTCCGCCATAAGAGCCCGTGTATAAGGCGATAAAAAGTATGATTTTTAAAATTTAATATCTAAGAAACTAAATAGTGAATCTTTTTAAAATTTTGGGATTAAATGAACTATGTATTTATTTATACGTATATTTAATTTCAAAGCTCAAAGTTGGAAATTATTTTTTACATTAAGATTCGCTCGTACTTCCTTAAACTATTATCTAACCGTAAAGCTCCTAACAACTGTTTGGCGTAGGATCCTAGTAGAGAATGTAGAAACGATTTGATTGGTACATAACAATCATTGGAAATAAATTTATAGAAAATTTTAAAACCTAATCTATATAATTTACTCTTAATAAATATTACTCACAATACTCACGCGGACATGTAAATCGAAAATTTTGAATTTTTTTTAAGTTAGTATTTACTAAATTTTTATATTTTTATTTTAAATAGGTCTCAAACATGTTTAGGCCTGCTCATCTCTCAACATCAAAGGCCATAATAATGCCGAGAACAACTATTCCCGTTGATCTAATGGTATTTTTAATCATAATTATTATATATTTCGTTAACTTTCTCTTGCACTGATAGAAAGAACGACTTAAATCAAGAAACAATTATTCTGATTTAAACTTATAACATGATAAATAAAAAATTTGTTCTTGAACCAACATTTAATAATTCTTTAATTGAAATAAAATTATTCTTTATTGAAGAGAATTGTTTTTGAATAAATAATTCACTTGTGTCCATTGAAAATAATATATTCTTGATCCAAGTAAAAATGTTATCGATCGGAGTAATTGGACATCTTAATCCAAGAAACATGAATTTAAGACAAGAATTTCTCGAAGTAAGACACTTCATTCTCTTCAAAATAATTTTCTTGGATTAAGAATATTCTTCTTGAATCAAGATAGTTTTTTTTATCAGTGTATACACTTAGTATATCTAATAATTGATATACAACTAATAATTATTAAATTTTCTGATCTTAGAAAGCACATAAGCGAATCATGGAAAATTGCCCTTTCGTGATTTTCATGAAAGTATACAACATATTATTGAATAATATTAAAAATAATACAGTGAATATTCAATATGTTCATTTAAAAATGAGAAATATTTGTATTTAATTTTTTAATTACGTTTTTTATAAATGACAAAGCAAATTTTCAATTATAGGAGTTCTTTAATTAAAATTTTCAATGCTCATTACAATTTTTTTTTTTTATTGATATAAATGATATAATTGATATTATTATTAATTTTTGTAAGAAAGACACGGGTATGTTATAATGATTGCACATTAAAAGTTACAATGAATAGGTATCAGCTAGAATAATTACATGAATAAAAGGTGCATGCGAATTCGATAGAATTGGGAATCTGTGCAAGTCAAATTAATTCTCTAATTAAATTTCAAGTCTAGATCTAAAAATGCAATTCTAGAAAGCGCCCAGCGGAGCAGGCTAGTAATAGCCAGTATAATAATATTATATTAATCTATAAATACCTGTCCGTCATAATATTAAAATACAATAATTTATGTTACAATAAAAATTAATTAATTATGAATTAAAAACTTAAATATTTAATAACAATTATTAATTAAACCATATTAAATTATTAAAAAAATTAAATTATTCTAATATCAATAAACTAAAATAATTTAAAAATAATTTTTTTCCAATAACAGTTTATTTATAATTTCCATAAAAATATTTACATTTTATACTTAATAATTATTTTTTTTTTAAGTGAATCATATTTAATTTCACAATTTTTGATCATTTTCCAAATTTATTTTGGAATTTTGAAAATTTTAAAAATAAGTAAACAAATCTTGGGCCTTTATTTTTCCATATTTAATTGTTGTTTGTTTTTTTTTTTTGTTTTTTTTTTTTTGTTTACAGTCACATTTACTGTAGCCAAGGAAATAGCGAAGATGAAGAACAACGAACGAACAGAAAGAGGTATTCTAAAATTATTGATTAATATATATAATTTTTAATAGCAACCCTGCAGTCATTATGTGACTGCCGTGACTTATGAACTATAAATAAATAAAATTTCGCTTTATTAAATACTAGCCGTAAACACCCGCTTCGCTGGGTTATTTTTCATAGAACAGCTATTTGTTAATATTTAAATTTTTTATGATGTTCCAAAAGTTTCTAAAACAATCCAACATATTTTCGACCGATAAGAATATTGACATAGATTTTGAAACTTCTTAATTTATTCGGAGTTACTCTAGATCATCCTAGAATTTTCTAAATCACTCTCATTAAATCAGAATCGAAACATGGATTTTAGAACTTTCCAGACCATTTTAGAAATTTACAAAACATTTTCATTAGATTAAAAACTAAAAGAGGGTTTTAGAACTTCCCAAATAATTATAGAAATTTCTGGATCATTTTAGAATTTTCGAGACCATTCTTATTTGATCAGAATCTAAACGTAGATTTTAGATCTTGCCAGTTTTTCCTAGAAACTTTTAGATCATTCCAGAAATTTTCAGAACAGTCCAGACCATTTTAGATTATGATAGTCTCACATTTTCGAAGTTAACATGTTCCAACCCCCGTATCTTTTACACCCTTATAATTATCGACTTGCAACCACCATAGTGCACGATGGGAGCCTTGAACCTATATTGCCACATACAAACACTATTTGTCTGCGATGCGTAGTTTTGGCTGCAAAGTGAAATATAGGGACACACACCTCAAATTTTATATATATAATAGATTAACTTTTGTTAAATTGCACTGTACTTTCTTAACTATTGACATTTTTAAAGATATAAGCTCATCCCAATGTTACACTAATCAAGAGCTTTCATTTGAGTACCCACATGCATTTTTGATATATTTTTCATATATAATATATATATATATATGAAATATATGAAAAATTGATGTGGGTACTCAAATGAAAGGTCTCGATGAGTGTAATTTTGGGGTGAGCTATATCTTCAAAAGTGTCAATAGTTCACAAGATATAAGGTCATTTTTTAATTATGTATCTAGAGATAAAGCATTTTCGAATGCAGCCTAAATACTTTACATAATAAATTGACTATAGGTGAGAATGATATGAAACCCTGAAGACCTTTGTAATGACACTAAATTTCACTAAAACAACCGAAAAATTACACGAGTGTTATGTAAACATAAGTTTTTTTATTCTTTAAATAATATAGATAATTAATTAATTTTATTTTTTATTTATAGAATTGCTTCAAGATGTGGTGATGGATGCGGTGGCGCAAATGGATAATTTGGCGTGATTGGATCCAGTAAAATCCGATATTACCGAGATAAAATGAACAGTGAAGCATTAAATCATTTACTTTTTTTTTTAATGTTGATTATTTTTTTTATTTCGATTATTATCATGTTTCTTTTGTATTTTTTGAGATTATAAAAAACATGATATAAAATTAGTGCGTTTCATTTAAATAAAAATGTTTATTTTTTTTTTAACTTTCAAAAATAATTTGTTTAAGTTGTTTATAGATATTTTCTATTAATCAGAATTTATTGAATTTTCTATAAAAAGTCTAATGAATTATTTTTTTTTTTACTTACGAATAATTTTGTTTAGTTAAAAGAACTGTAAAAAAAATATTCATATGTAAAAATATTGTTATATTTAACAACTTATAATTACAATTAATCACTTTTTCAATAAAAAAAAAAAAAATAAAAAAAAGTGTCCTAAATTAATGTAAATAAAAATTAAACATGTGTTTTAATTTAATTTATACAGGCTTTCAAAAGATGAGATGCTCTTGGAACTACTGTATCCTTTGTTACAGGAGTCCAACTAACGAGATTATTCAATGCTTAAAAATTCCACGTAAATTTTATTTTTACTTACGAGTAAAATTTAAAAAAAAATATATATATTTAAAAATTACAAATAAATTTTTAATGTTATGATTTTTTTTTTTTTATCTAAAAAAATCAAAAAATTTATTTAAAGATTTTTTTTTTTCTTTATTATTATGAAGTTTCTTTCAACAAGCTATTTTAAAACAGTGACAATTTTTAGTTTTTTCAAAAATCGAAATAATAAAAAAAAAATTTAAATACAAAGAGGGTCGAGACTTAGGAATTTTATTTAATTTTTAATAATAAATAATTTTTATTTTAACATTTTTTTATATAAATAATTCGTTAAAAATCTTTTAATAAAAAATAAAAATAATAGAAAGGTTTGTAATTAAAATTTGAAAATTTTTTAAGAAAATTAATTACGTATTTTAAAGTAAATAATTAAATTATTAACAATAAAACTAAAATGAGCTGACAGTTGAAAAAAAAATTTTGTTAGATAAATTGCAAATAATAAAATAAATTTCACTCACAAATATTTATTTTTTAAAAAAATCGTCACCTGTCAGCTCATTTCGGTATCATGATTTGATTAAGCTTAATAAACTTGTAGGAGGGTATGAAAACTTCTCAACAAATGTCAACAAATCTGGTCCAAGTGGTGTAAATATACTCTCGGTGGATTCTTGCGAGTGAATTCTTAAAAAAAAAAAAAAAAAATAAAATTAATTATTATAATTACAATTATTTTTTTTATAAAGTTCAAAAAATAAAAAGAAGATAATTACTTGAGGATCTTTAACTATTAATCCATCGCGAGTGACTAATATACCATTTGGAGTGATGTAGGCCCAGCGACTGACGCGTTGTTGATTAACAAAGATTCCAATTCTATCAATAAGTCCCCACTGTAAAGTTGACAAATTAAACTTCCAAATCTCCATAGGTGTATTATTAATGTCTCTGTATTTAGACGCAGATACTATTAAGCACGTGTCTTCAGTATCCGGATCACAATATTTTGACATGCTGTAATTATAAGATCCAATTGGCGGCTGGTCCATCTTCACATTTACGACATTATCATTTCCGTTCTTATCTCGTCGAAATATATTCAAGTCTTTTTCAAGTTCTAGGTCATTATCATCATAATCATTGAAATTTTTATCCTGATTGGGGTCTGATGTTCCTACCCAGCTCCCAAGTATTCTTCTCCAAGTCAAACACCCGAATAAAATTAATGTTTTTACTGTAGAACAAATACGTCTTTTTGTGAGAAGAAATTATTATAATCGCTAAGTTGTGTGTACATCGATTGTTAATAATATTAATTATTATCATTATTATTATTATTACAATAATAAAAAAACTATTGAATTTTTAAAAGAAAATTTGAATTTTAAAATATTATTCGGCGCTAATAAAGGCGAAAAGATGACATGAGCTAAAAATTAAATGCTTATCTTCCAATTACTATAAAAGTTAATGATTCATTGCCTATAATAGCTTGTCTTCACTGCATAGAACGATTAGAAGCTCATCACTAACGAGCTCATGGCGAAGATGATATGATAACTAGAAAAAGACTAAGAATAGAGCTAAATAATAATGCGAGCCAGACTCCAACATCAACTCCAGCATTATCCAAGCCACCTAGGAGTAACGTCAACGGATTCATTACCGCCTCCACCACTGACCTCAACACAGAGAACCCAGTTAAATTCACCTCCATTTTAACGATCGTCGTAGTTACATACAAAACAAATAATCAAATAATCGCTCAATCTCACGTCAACAAACTTAATCCACTAGTTTTACTTTTATCGATTATTATATTAATTAATACAAGTCTTCATTTATTATATGTATATATGTATTATTTATTATTTTTCATATTTTTTTAATTGCGCTTGTAATTCTTCAAATTTTCTACAAATTAGTTTTTTTATAACAATTTTTTCAACAAAAATTTGTTAAAAATTTTTAATTTTACTTTCATGAATTATTTATTAATTTTCCGTAAAATATTTTTATTAATTTGATATATTTACTTTACTTTACATTTACTTTAATAATTTTTATTTGTTTATTTTTAATGATAAATTTTAGATGAGCTTAATTAATTAATTAAAAAAAAAAAAAAAAACAGATTTTTTTTATTAAATTTTAAATACAGTGAAAGCTGTTAAAAATTACCCAGGTTGTCTTTCTCGCTCTTGTTAGCGTTTTATGAGAAATTGAGACAGAAATACGGTAACTTTTAACAGCTTTCACTGTAATAGTAATTAAATAAAATAATTATAGAAAACTACAATGCAAAGTAGAAATAGTGAATATCAAAATAATGTTAAGATAAGCGTGCACCGATATACAGAATAGGCAAAGTTATCAGCAAAAATGTTCATTCTGAAGTAATAACATTCCAGGTGTATAAATAGTGATTATAAATTATCAATTATCAATTACTAAAAAAAATTTTTTTTTTGTTTTTCTCTTCTCTTAAATCTATCTTTTCTTTAAATATGCTATTTATTGTATATAAACATGACTAAACATTCTACACTTGAAAATGTCATATTCTATGACCTTAAAGTTAGCAGTCAGCTGACTATTTAAAATTTTTTTTTAACAAATAAATTTGTTCAGAAAAATTATTTTAAAAAAATTGCATTTTTAATTTTTAAAAATTTTTACGTGTCAAATTTATTTTCTCAATTTTTTTTGTAATAATTTATTAATCACAAAAATTATTAAATACCTGCTAAATTAATTTTCATCATATTCTTGTAAATAGCCAACGGCGTTTCTTTACAAATAAATAAATAAGAGAAGTATTGAATAGAGATATATTTTTTTATCAATAAGTACAATAAAATATTTACCGCCCTATTTGTTATTGCTAAATAAAAAATAGTTTAATCAGCAACACAAATAGAGAAAATATAAATAAAGAAATAAACAAAATTCCCGACATTGACAATCGAATTATAACATAACGCCTGAGAACATCCTTTCAGGATTATACTCACAATCGCGACATTGGTTCGGTTAACAGTTCAAGTTGATGAAGTTAGTCTAATAGTCATCAGTCGGTATTCTCAATAATATCTCAAGTAATTTAGACATCGTATGTTTAACCGCTAGAAAAAAGATCTAGTCACAAAAAAGACTTATAAGAAGAATTGCGCCTTCGGACTTAATCGTCAAAACTCGGGAATAATCGTTAAAACTCGGAAATAATCGTATCACGCTATGGCCGTCGCTCATGCGCGCCTTGGTTAGCGGTAGAGAAGCCGGCTCGCGTGGTCTGCTACTGCGTATTTTGGTGGTGGCATCATTTTCTAGATTTCCTGAAATCAATTAAGATTATTAAAACAAATAAATTTTTTATTCAACTAAATACTTGTACATGAATAAAAAAAAATTTACCTTTTTGAATTCCATTTGCTTGGTGTTAGAATTGGTCTTCTTTTAGGACTTAATTCAAATACTCGGTATTTGAAAAATTTTTTGGGAACGGATTCCTCTTTCGCCGCTTCGTCTTGATCTGGCTTGTGAATCGGCACTGATCTTTTGGTAGTTCTTACCGGAATCTTGCTGGGAATCACTTTTAGATTCAGATTTAAATTTTTAACTGATCTAACTTTAATCCGCTTAGCTTTTGGTGATTTGAAGCTTGGTGATTTTAAGCTTGGTGGTCTTCTCAATTCAGCTGTGTCATTACTTGTCACATTGCTGAATGTGGTACCTGGCGGAGTTATTCTGACAAAAGTTTTATCCTCTTCTCTGACAGGTGTACATACATCACCCTCGAATGTCATTTTTTTACTGACAATCTCTTCTTCAGCATCCGGAGCCACAAATAAAACACCATAACCAGCATAATCAGGACAATTATTTTGAAAATCATCTTCAGACACCAGCTCTTTTACCCTTAAATAAATCAGGTGGTTTTTAATGTTATATCTTATGCAGATACTTATTGCATAGTCAATGATACTTTGAGTATCAGCACCTGTTTGTGATTTTGAGTCTTTGATAAATTTTGCAAAGTCTAATAGAAAAAGCACAAAATGCATATACCACAGGGAAATAGTCTCAAAATTCTCCACCTGGGCATCAATTAGCTTCTTGACAATCTCCATAGCTTCGTAAAAATGATCCACCGCTTGCTCTACATTATTCAGCGCCGCGTAAAGCTTAGCACTTATATGCGTGTAAGAAAATACATAGTAGTTGTAAGCAAAGTTTTCACATTTAAAACAGTTAAAACACTTACAATTCTTATCGTGCTTCTTAAGACCCAGTGAAGAAAATGTTTCTGTTAATAACACTACTGATGCGTCACTTTGTGGAATATCACGGACCACTTTAACCGGTTTCAGAGAGTTGTCGCAAACGATATTGACATCGTTTTTTGAGTTAGTACCTTCATCAAAGTTAGACGAGTCCAGCTTTAAAATACTCTTAAGTTTCTGGAGATTTACTTCGCAGTCCTTTAGTTGATTACACCACAAATTCACAAAACAGAGATTCTTCAGACACTCTGCTACGCGGAGAGTGGATCCTAACTGATGAACTGTTCTCAAACTATGTGTAAAGTACATAGATATCTGCTCGTAAGACTTCAGACTGTTTATGCTCTGTGACACATGACTCATGAAATCGAGAGCAATGTCCAATTTGTAGAGCAGGTATCCTTGAGGAAGGTTATGCAAAGACAAAAAATTATTTTGCTTTTGTAGTACACCATCAAGACAATCAATGATCGCCTTCTTGTACTCAAGTTCAATGCAGCAGTTGTCGTATATCATTCGGACTAATAATATATCCATTGCGTAGATATACGCAGGATAAATTTCTTTGTATGTTGTTAGAAGATTTTTTAACGTTTTATGAAATAAATTATTAGATTTTTTGATATACCCAAGATTATAATAATAGGTTGACAAGCTCAATTTGAACAATATGATACTCTCGATTATTTCTTCATCGTTCGAGTCTTTTAATTTATCAGCAGACTGCTCGGCGAGGGCGATCCACTGGAAGTTCAGATACTTTGACATGATGCCGCGAGCGCAAATGTATATTATAGACAGGTCGTCTTTGAACTTTTTTGCTAAGCTCATCGCCAGCTTCCATGCAGATATTTCTGCTCCGAGAAAGTGATAGAATTTGGCATATTCCCCGGCCATGATCACGAGCCTTATCATCATGTTGGGGGTTAGAAATTTACCGAAACTCTCGATGAGGCCTTCTTGCTCGCAGTACGTAGCCCAGCATTCTAGCACTTGTTTTAAAGATGCTTCCAAGTCTGAGAAAATGGTGATGTTCATCAGGCTGTAATCTAGATCGACGTTGCTCGTGGAGTCACCTTGCATGGTCGATGTTAGCATCTGAGTTTTAATAGTGTTGCAAATGTCGGCAAGTTTTTCGGCAAATGAGTAAAATAATAAAATTGAGTAAATTAACTGTCTCGATGAAGTGAATTCTACCTTGTTGAACTTCAACTTTGCGGATGTCAGGAATTCTCCAGAAAGTTGTAAATTTTCAATATTCAGTTGATGGTAGCTGAGCATGTGGATCGCCTGGGCGTACTCGATTGTATCAGGATTTAACTTTTCCAAAAATTTGATTGATACAATGATTGAAGAAACCATATTCATGGGGCAGTTCTCCAAGAATTTGATTTCTAGCAAAGTTAGTTGCTTTTTTTCAAAATTGTTCAGCGAAATCGTTATTCCAAAACGTGCAGCAAAATTGCTCGACTCCAGACATTCTACCATCGTTATAGATTGTTTTGATGGGTTCTGGGACTTACAATTTGCCCAGGTACGAAAAGATGAATTTTGTCCGGTACTTAATCCTACATACGCGCTCAAAGATGCGACCTCCATAGCGTCTTTGTAGTTTTTGTTGCGGTAGTGTGTACATCCAAGTCGATGTAAACAAATAGCCAAGAAATTTTCTTCTGGCTTGAAAAGCGTCTCCACTCCGAAGCTCTTGATCTTGGTGCATAGTAATTCACTGAAAAGAACATAATCTTCGTAGTAATTATCATGGTACTGAATAATAAGACGGAAAATTGCGCTGCTACATAAACTCCAACTTTTTAACCAAAATTCACAATCATTATCTTTTAATTCTGAGACGATGTTGATGCAGTCTTTAAAAAGAGATAATCCGATTTGTCGGAAGTATTTTAAAGTCGCCTCGATTTGGGTTAATAACGAGAGAATTCTAATTTTAATTAAAATAGTCTTGTAAATGTCTTTATTGACATTACACTTGTTTGACGAGCATCTATAGCAGGATGAAATTTCTAATTGAGAAAATAAAGCAGCCTGATGGTTTATCAAGCTCAGAAGCTTGGGTATCAATTTTACAGGAATTTCAAATTCTTCTTCTGTTTCGGTATACTTTTGCCAGTAAATAAAGACGAATTTAAGCAGCACTGATACCTGGTTCAAATTTTTACTGACTGCGTTCTGGATACCGTATTTTTGAACAATTTCATTGAATGTTTGGATGTAATTGTCAACAGTGTCGACGGTAACTTTGTCGAACGCAGAAACTGGTCGTAAGAAAATTAAGCATATCTGCTCGTATAGTTTCAAACAGTCATTAATCTCAACATTTTCGTATACTGACTTACGGAACGCATCGAAAAGCTGCTTGATTTCTTTTTCTGAAATCGTATTGACTTTCTTGATATTTATTTTATCCAACAACATTCCGTTAATTAATTGCAGGAAACTATTATAGCTTTCATATTTTTCTTTAATACCAAGAGAAATTTTAGTGTCAGTCAACATCTTTATGACGATCTTCATGATGAAGCTCTGGAAGACTTCTGTATACTTTTCATCATTGTAGGACTTGATTGTCGACAGGTAGGAGATGAGATCGCAGATTAACTTTCGGTGCTCGTCTGGGTCGCAGAGCAAGCGCTTTCATTAAAAAATAAAAAAACAATAGATATCTTAAATTTTGAATAAATTAATAATAATTTAATAAAATATTACTATAAAAATTTATCAAAATAATTTCGCGGTAATTAAGTAAAAGCTCCAGTTGACTGCAACCCTAAAAATTATCGGCAGTTACACATCTTTACTCCAAATTACTCAACTCTGCGACATACTGTACTCAATAAAAATAATCGGAAAACTTAATAAAAAAAAAAAAAAAAAAAGACAACTTTACTCAATTCATTCATTACTCTATGCTAACTTTATTCAACGCTAAGTTTACTCAATTCCAACTGTATTTCATAAAATCTTTATTCAATGGTATTTTACAAGTGATGGCGCGCTTTTAAACATTTCTATTCAACTATTTTTTGTTCAATAAAATATGTTTAGTTTAAATAAGTTAAAAAAAAACTTTACCTAATAATTTTATTCTTAAAAAATAAAATTCTATTGTTTTACAAACTTTATTCAATTTCAACTTTACTCAATTACATGTAATTTATAAATCTATATATAGTAAAAAAATTTTTTTTTTCAATTTATCAAATTATTTTATTGGAGTACAGATTGCACAGAGCTGAGAAATTTTGAGTACAGTGTTTTTTTTTTTTTGCCGAATAAAATATTATTAAATAAAAAAAATATTGAATAGAGATTTTTGAAAGCGCGCTATCACTTATAAAATACTATTGAGTAAAGATTTCATTAAATAAAGTTGGAACTGAGTAAACTTAGCGCGTTGATTAAAGTCAGCATTGAGTAGTGAATGAATTGAATTAAGTTTTTTTTTTTTAAGTCATTCAATTTTTTATGTTGAGTACAGTATGTCGTCATGTTGAGTAATTTGAAGTAAAGATGTGTAACTGCCAAATTATCAACTAATTATTGACATCCATTCTTTAAATATTATAAAAGATAAAATTAATTTCGATGATTGAATTTTATAAATTTTTCATATATAGGGTAAATGTTCCAGTAGTTGACTGCTTTCATAAAAAAAGTCCAAAAATTATTATTAACTTCATTTTTTATGACCCTGAAATTTATTTTTAACTATTGTTGAACTTATAATCATTACAATGAATAGGTATTCCAAATATTATAAAAATATAAATATGTTTAGGTGATAAATTCATGTTTACATAAGCGTTGTTATTTAAAATAATATTGATAATTATTAAGTTATTAGTAATAAAGAAGTATTTATGCTTATTGTTTAATGTGTTTCAAATAAGATGATTGTTGAGTCAAGTTTAAATTTGTACACTGATAGAAGGACTTATTAGCTATTAATAATTTCATTTATTTAGGAGAAAAGAGTACATTTATTAATAGTTAGTAAGTATTTATTTATATTTAACCAATGTTTATTAACAGTTAATAAATATTTTGTTGAGTGAATTTGTGTTTCGCTTGCAATGTCATATGTTATGAAAATTGCTTATAAACAAAAATCATCTTTACAAATTATTAACATTAATTATATTATTTTATAATAACGTTTACTGTAACATACCAAATTTTATCACAGCTCATAATTATCTTTTATATTTTAAAATATTAAAAACGTTAATTTATTTAGTAAATTGAATTATTATCATGTATTCCAGCTGTAGGGTTATAAAAACTTGAATATTTAAATAAGTTTAAATAAACTTAAAATTTTTATTTTTTAGCGTATAATAATTAAATTACCATCAATTGAAATGCCAAAAATCCTTAATCGGTCAACTACTGGTACATTTACCCTACTTAATTTTAAATAAAGAAATTAATTTAATAACGCGATGTTGTCAAATCTTTATTCGAATAAATAGCTGACGGTAAACGAGTTACAAACAAAAAATTTGACTTTTAATATTTCAAATATTATATCGGTAATGTATTATTATTACATTGTTTTTATATTTTTTTTTATCCAAGTTTTTTGTGGATAGTTTTTTATCCGTTAAAATTGGAAGGTTAATATTGAAAAAAATAATTAAAATCTCGACAAAAGTTTGTCCGCCATAAGAGCCCGTGTGTAAGGAGATAAAATATATGATTTTTAAAATTTAATATCTAAGTAACTAACACGGTGAATCTTTTTTAAATTTTGGGATTAGATAAATCACGTATTTATTTATACGTATACTTAATTTCAAAGCTCAAAGTTGGAAATTATTTTTTGTATTGGATATTCGCTTGTACTTATTTAAAGCTTTTTTTTTAAAAAAAAACTAAAAAAGTATAAAATGTCTGCCGACTTTAGCATGGTATTCTTACCTTTATTTCCTTAATAAATTCATCAAATAGGCCTGCTTTTAATGATGGCTCCCATTTTATAAATATTGAAACCGTGGTAGTCATTATGGTTTGTAATTATAATTGTTGTATAAATACTTTTTCAAAGTTTTACCTCACTCTTTATACAGAGAAACTTAAAACTGCAAAAAAAATATTAATAATTAATTGTTTTATTACTAAATAATAAAATTTATTTAACTAAGGTTATTTAGTGTTTACCCGTGCTAGCACGAGAGATGCGAAATGCGAAAATAGACAATGGAGGTGCATAAAAAGTACGTACCTTTAGTTTATGAAATCTCAATATAGGTGTTGACGATTTTTAGTGAGTAAATATTTAATTTACTTTATATATTTATTATAATAAATTTAATTAATTAAAAATATATAAGTATTAACTGACTTATTAATTAATAACTGAAGCGATAATAGAACAATACTTGATCTCGTCACGCTCCGATTTATACTTGGAAAAATGTAACTAAAATAATTCCCTGTAGATGTCGGAAGTTTATAAAAAAAAAAATAACAAATTTGGCTGCATTGGTTTTCACCAAGACTTTTATTTCAATAAAAAAAAAAAATAATAATAACAAATGCATGAAAATTTTTCTGTAAATGAATATTTTAATTTTTTTTTTTAACTTATTTACTTAATTTTTGACAATTGTTTATAGAAATGAATTAATTGTTAGAAATTTTGATTCTTTCTGCAATATAAGGAACAATTAATTAATTACTTAAGAAAATTTTCTTGTAATTAATATATTAAATTTTTAACTAAATGATTTTATATATTTTTATCATTTTATAATTAATGAATTCAAAAAATTAATTTATTTATTTACAACTAAATTAGTTGTTGAACATTTGACAACTTTTGATTCCGACGCGCATGCGTGAGTGTAAGCGCAAGCGCGGTAAATTTGAATCTTAGCATTTTTAACTTTTTAAAAAGTTTTTTATGTGCGGAATACACAATAACTTTTTAAAAACTTTTTATGTGCGGAATACACATATAAAGCACAAAACTATAAATCAATTAATAATACTTCACATAAAATAATGACATTTTGTTCCGAAATTAACAACCGATGACAATGACATGGTATCTTGTGGCCATTTTATAGGTCTAAAGTAACTCTGTTGATTCACAAGAGAGTCACTTTTAATGCAAGCGGACTTAAAATTGTATCCGGCACAAATTAAAATTTTCGATAACAGCAAGAACTGTCAAAAGAAAATGAAACTGACAAGAAATATATATTTGTATATGCACATATATGTTAAATCTTAAAAATTATTTATTATTATTATTTTAGTGTTATCACATGAAATTTTGTGACATTAATATTAAAAGTTTATTTTCTGTAAAGTCTAACATGTGTCAAAATTTAATTATAAAACTAAAATCAGCTGACAGCTGACAAAAAAATTTTTTTAGATAAATTGCAAATAATAAAATAAATTTCACTCACAAATATTTATTTTTTTAAAAAATTGTCACCTGTCAGCTCATTTCGGTATCATGATTTGATTAAGCTTAATAAACTTGTAGAAGGGTACAAAAACTTTTCAACAAATGTCAACAAATCTGGTCCAAGTGGTGTAAATATACTCTCGGTGGATTCCTGCGAGTGAATTCTTAAAATAAAAATAAATAAAATTAGTTATTATAATTACAATTATTTTTTTATAAAGTTCAAAAAATAAAAAGAAGATAATTACTTGAGGATCTTTAACTATTAATCCATCGCGAGTGACTAATATACCATTTGGAGTGATGTAGGCCCAGCGACTGACGCGTTGTTGATTAACAAAGATTCCAATTCTATCAATAAGTCCCCACTGTAAAGTTGACAAATTAAACTTCCAAATTTCCGTAGGTGTTTTTTTTTTTTTTTTTTTTTTAATTAATTTATTTTAAAAATTCTTTAACAATAACTAGACAAATTGAGAGTATGAACTGCAGCTTTCGTCGCATTGCATAGGTCATAGATCTTGAGATTGCCATTTTATAGGAATAGATTTTCTGTTGCATTCTTAAGCATATGCCGCTAAAGCTGTACACAAACATTCGCAATCCCCTGCCTCCGTCGCAGCCACATGTGTCGAAAATGCAGCGTTGAACAAACGGCTCAATGTCAACTTCAAAATGACAAGGCTGGAATATAGAAACACTTCAACACTCCGTATTTTTAAATCGCCCAAAGCTTGCGCTCAGGATGACTATCGCAAGTATCTGTAATATCTTTTGGTTCCGGACAGTAGGTGTCTTTCTTCCAAGAGTTGGCAAAAATACCAGCCGAGACTTCAGATATTCCACCAGAAGGGGTTTTAAAATCGTCTTCACTATTGTTGTTATAATCTCCACAAAGACCTTTGGTTCTACCTTTCCACTTAGGATCCAATTTAACGTACACTCATATTCCTTTGTCTCATTGTAATACTAATCCCAAGTCAGGTACGTCTATAAATACAAACAACCCAGCGTGTCGAATCGCTAATCTTTTGAAAGAATCATTGGGAATAGATTTATCTCGTATTAATGTAATTATTTCCTGGTTGTTACCATTTCCGACTTTAATTAAGTGTTACAGATTTAGAGCATGAGACGCCAGTACTTCCACAAGGAACGTTTTGCAGTGAAATTTCAAACATTTCGTCCTTACCAAAACTCGCTTTCGTGAAAACGTAGTCACAAACCCCTTGGAAGTTTTATCATCAAATGTTTTAAAATGTGAATCACCCCATGCTGAGCATATTCCCGGACAAATTCGATCACTGGATTTCTGGGAGTCTGCTTAATTGGTTCATGCATATTTCGACAAGTTCGTGGTTCAGCTGACTTACTAGTAGCGACTTCGAGATTTTTACTAGCAGTGCAGTAAAAACTGTTTTTAAATCAATCGCCGCTGGATATTTTTCTATGTCTTCAGTAGTTGCTAATTGACAAGCCCAATTTTCTCTAGCACAAGTACACAAGTCTTGGCCTTGTCTTCCTGGGCGAATTTCTTGATATCCGGCGTTGAGTCGTGATAAACAAAACTATTTTCCACTAAAAAAATAAGAATATCTTATAATAGATAAGTAAAAGTTATGAGCTTAAATAAATTTAGTAAATATTTCGGACTAAACAATTTTATTTCATGATTGAGTCTTCATTTTTCTGATTTTTTGTCAATCATTTAATTTTTAAAAATTTTTTTTTTAACAAAAACAACAACAGGTACCAATAAGACAAGACGTGTTTTACCTTCTTCGAGGGAGGCGTCTCCATCACTCATGAGCTCGTCATCCGTACAAATGTTCAATACTCCAACTAAAACATCAGTAAATGCAAAAAGTAAAATCATATTATATTATTTAACATAATAATTTGCTTGCTCTATTTCAAGATTTACGGAATGGTGTGGAAAGTTTAATTTATAGAATTAAAAAAAGAAAAAAAAAATTGAGCACATCTGGAACCAATAGTAATATATGGGTGATTCGGTGTAAGGATGTTTTTTGCTGTCCCAGGCATTTTTTTTATTAGAAAAATTGTTATTTAGTTGCTAAAAAAAATTTATTACGAAAGTAAAAAAATATTTCTATTTGGAGCATTGAAAACTAAAATGAAACAAATTATGGTTTTTTTGCTATAAATTGGTAAACCACCGAAATAACAGTCCCCTGGGCTGTCCCATTTCCAAAATTGAAACTTTAACATTAAATTTTAAGTTATTCGTTCATAATATATTATTTTATCCATAATGTTTATAAACTTAATTAGTTAACTAACAATTTTCTTCAATAAAAAGTACAGAAAATTAATTTGTTTCATTGAATTCATTAAACCAAAGTTTGTCCCAGGCATTTTAAGATCAGTCCCCGGCCAGAAGTTCAAAGCCAAAAATAAAAATCCAGCGTGTTATTTTACCTTTTGTAAGGTTTATGTATAAGGATCTAACTAGCCTTGACTTTTAAGTTAACCTTAAAATTAACCTTAACATTACATTAACCTTTTACTTTTACAACAATATTCAATTAATTTTTTTGTATATTAATGTTTATATTAAAGCGTTACCTTTTGGATATTTTTTAAGTTGTGGATATGTGGTGACAGGCCACCATGAACACACAGAAACTGATTATTTACCAGGGCTGCTAGTGGTAAACAATCAAATGCGTCCATACACGCATTGTAAATAGTCTCCAAGTATTTTACCTTGCCTGAAATAATAAAATATGTTAGTTTGTTGTAAAATCTTTAACATATGAATAACTAACAAAGCGGAAAGATGGATGGTCATTAAAAAAATTAAAAGATAATTAAATTTTAGATCAATAAAAAATTATATTTGAATCTTATTATTTAAACTGGCTCATATTTAAAATTAATGATGGATTTAACACTTAAAACAGTCAATACTCAAGAGTTGTACAGACAGGAAATTTAAGTTTAATAAAAAATTGTATTTTGAATTAAATTTCAAACATAGAAAGAAAATTATTTTAACAAAAGTATACATCAATAAGCAATACTATTGATTTGAGTAGATTATAAATAGAGTAGAAAAATTATCAACAATCACCGTTTTAAAAAGATGGTCAGTCAATAATTGTATTCCCGTTTATGCAAAATTAAAAGTTTTATTGATAAAAAAAAATTACCAGCGGCGTTAGAAAAGTTTTAGCAAATCAGAATTATATTTGAAAATAGTTAATTTTATTTAACTTCATAGATTTAAAATTCTCGACATAAATCAGATGAGCCCGAAACCATCAGGTAAGGTAAAAGACCCCATTAGTGGCACCTTTAACCCCTATTAATGACACTTTTTCTTTCAATGAGAAAAATTTTCTACTTGGAATAAAAATTAAAAATTTTTTTAATCTAAAAATCTTAAAGATTAGAAATAATATACTCATTATTGAAATTGATGATTTCATTAATTGAATAAGTACCAAAATCAAAGAAAGTGTCAGTAATGGGGTTCCTACCCTTAATGAGGTCATTAACCCTATAATAGAAGAGCTTGAATATCTCAACATATTCAGAACACTACCAATATTTAAATATGCAAACTTACACTTTTGTTTGAATGTGAAATATGTTGTCAGATGCCGACATTCGTGATTGCCTCTGAGTAGAAATAGCTATGTGGAAAAAAAAAAAAAAAAAGAAAAAAAAAACAATTAAATTAAATAAAAATCAATATAATATTGAGACAAGTTTTTTGACGTTCTAATTTCTACTTTGACTAAGCATAAAGAATTTTTGAACACCACACGATGAAAAAATAAATCAGTTTATATCGATGATGGATTTTGGATCGCAGATTTATATTTAAAAAATAGTTTTTTTTTTCAACACTGAAAGTATTTTATCGTACTTAAAATGTTAGTAAAATATAGAAAGTTTAAATGAAAAAAAGTAAATAAAAACGAAGGATACATGTACATAATAAATAGTGAGTAATTTTAGCCCGGATATTTTTATATTGAATAAATTTTTAGATCTATATTTATTATCAGACATTATTACTTTCATTAGATCGCTATAAAAATTAATTTAGGATATTTATAAACTCACCTCGATACCGAAGTACCCCCTATCTACGTAGTCGCATAGAAAGAGGTAGTTAACTGCGGCAGGGTGATCTCCAACTTCAAATAGTTTTATTAGGTCGTAGAACTGTCCATGAATATCACCACAAACTGCAATTAAACAACAAAAAAATTATTAAAATTCAAATTCATTGAAATTAAAAATTATTAGAAAGGATTTCACTCTGATTTTTTTTACACCATGCTGTAATTTTCTCAAAAGCTATTTATTTGATAATTATTGAAAATAAAAATAAAATGAAAAAAAAAAAAAAATGACTCACTAGTAACTGGAGCCTCAACTGTGATCATTGTATCCTCGGATCTTAGAAGATCAGCGCCATTATTGATGATGCGCAATGCTGCTGCTTCGTCAACTCTACCTTCAACGATAAAATGATTTTTTAGAACATCTGGTTGAGGTTTTCCTGTCTCTGCATCGAAGATCTCTGTTACTGTCAGTCTATGAGCGGGTGGACTAGGCACATCTGAAAATAACATTCAGTAATCAGTAAGTACCGTCTAATAACATAATAAAGCTGCTTTTAACCAATGTACCAGCTAGAATTATATATATTTACCTGGAACTTATCGCTCATCTCTTATCCGTTTGCTCTCTCTTGAATGTTCTTCCTCAGTTACAATAAAACTACTATTTGAATCTTCAACTATCGTTGAGGACGCAATGGGCTTTGGCTTTAAATACGGTAATATTTCGATCATTTTTCGGAAGGAACTTCCGGACTTTTTCTTTAACCTTGGGGTTATTGGAGACTTGGTAGTTTCAACTGACGTAGATACACCAGGCGTTTCATCCATTGACGAAGAGCTCAACGACTCCATTGGATCGTAGAAAGTCGTGTTATTCATCGACTCAGATTCGGAATCAGGCATGACAGAAGTGTCTATCAAAGAATCTTCGATTTCTTGTGTATCATCTAATGTGAAGGTTAAGTTGCGTATTCCAGTGTTTGCACAGGTATCAGCAGCTGGTGTTTCGTCAAGGGATTCTACGGAATTATCCAGCTCGATAGTTGTATTTAGTATATCTTCTGATTGACCTTGAATATTAACTGACTGAAGAGTAGACCCTTCAACAGTTTCTTTTTTATTTTCAATTGAAATATGTCTTTAATCTCTGAATTAATGGACTTTTCTAATCTATGTTTTGCCACAAAAGGTGCCATTTCACCAAATCCAGTCATAGAACACTGACTCGAGCTATGACTTTCTACCTCCAGGGATTACTGTAACGCCTTTTGCGTGAGCCCTTACGAAAATCGTTATTTTAAAATGGGGAAACTTTGTTAATTTCAATATTTGAAATGTCTGGATAATGAGATTGAGCAAAAGACTCGTCAAAGTAGCTCGAAGAAATTTTTGACTGCCTGCTACGATCAAATTCCATTACTGAAACCAATTCTGACGATTCCGGATCTTTACTAGATCCTTGAATGGCGTCAATATTTGAAGTATATAAATTACAACGTGATTTACTTAAATTGGAGTCACTTAATTGCGAGTGAGATAAACAAGATGCATTTTTACTATCTATCAAACTTTATGATCGCGATGATGGGCTTCTGTTGTTTATCAGAAGACTAGAATTGTCTCGAGTTTCAGATGCAAGTGTACCAGCTACTGACTCGTTGGAAATGCTCGATCGTAAAGATTTTTTCGATAAATAATCTTTGCTCTTCAAAGACTTTAGACTTTCCGACTTTTCCGAGTTGAATGAGACTTTAGACTTTCCGACTTTTCCGAGTTGAACGAGACACTGGAAATTTCTGAATGATCAGTCTTGGGATCGTAAGCTATCGATGATTGGTCCGAACTCGAAAAATTCAGAGACTTTTTATCCCAAGCACCATGATTAAATTCTTTAGGTACATCTTGAGTTCCAATACTCCTGTTGAGCAGAAGAGCAGATTTCCTGGATTTAATCGCGTCAACTGGAGTCTTCAATTCTAGGCGATTCATGCGACGAATTAACAAGTCCATCGACGGACTATTCTCACTAGAAATGGCGACTTCCTTGAACGGTGTCAAGACATGATGTGCAAGAACCGATCTATCGCCTGATATCTCCATGGGGTGATATCTTCCTGGTGAAATTGACACGCGAGATACTATCGCTACCCAGACGATGATGATTCACCGGTGATGATTCATTTGACCCAGGGGGGAAAGTCCTTTTATTTTTAATTATTTATTTTTAAACACAATAAAACTTTATTCACAATACTGAGGTTAGCTGTCAATTTTTTTTTTTATTTTTGTAACAAGTGAACTAAAATTAAAAAAATACTTCCAAAAATTATCACTAATAATTTTTTTTTATTTTTACACGTTTAAATTTTTTATTAACTTTATTTCACATTAATTATCAAATTTAAAAAAATTTTTTTAAATTTTTTAATGTCTGTCAACTTCAGTGTCATCTTTATTAAATTTTTTTGGTTATATTACAGATGACACTCTAAAACGTTGGGTTAATTAATTTATTTACCACTGGTGGCGCCAGATTATCAGTATAACCAGATTGAACAGAAACATTTGTTAAAACTATTGTATTAGAGATAAAAACATTAATTTTCAAAAGTTTGACAAATAGTCAAAGCTATCTGAGTTAAATTTAATAGTGTTGTTTGAAAATAAAGTTCTGATAAAATAATAAATTACATTTTATTTTTTTTTTAAGATAGAGAAAATATAAATTTAAATAATTTAAAATAAGGGATAAATGTATACATTTAAAACTATATATAGTTAATTTTTAATTTTTTTTAAATCAAAAATTCATATGCTTAAATAGTTTAGTAAAATTTATATAATAATAATAGAATTTTATTTGCATGACTAGTGTCTTACAAAGCTTTTATATAATTATATAATGTATTAAATGTATCTTTCATCTTTCTTTTTTAATTTAATTTTTTATTTTTCTTAATAGTAAAATTTTTATAATTTATTAGTTGTGAATGTCAAGTCGGTTATTTAATTTCTGAGATGTGTTACATTATACAAAGTGTGTAACGATATTTATTTAAGAGACGTATAACTATATAGATGATTGTAGAAAGTAACTATCCTAGTAGCTTTACTTAAAATAAAAGACCCAATTATTGACACTTGCAATTTTATTTTAATTAATTAAAAAAAAAATCAAATAATATATTAATTTATAAATTAATAAATATATTTTTTAATTATAAATTTTTCAATAATTAGGTCAATTCACAAAAAAATAAATTTTAAGTTGTTATTACGGTTTAAAATTGTAATTTTGACGCTATAATTTCACGCCTCATAGTACGAAACACGTATAAGGTAGTGTTTTACTTCCGACTTGTCAAGGTCAAGGTATTTTTTTTTTTCTATCGATAAATGTGGTTTTTTTTTTCGGTAAGTATTTAAATTAAAATTTATTTATTTAATGAATATACAAAGTACATGACTGTACATTTTGATCAGATCATCTCATTAGATGATTTACGTACAAATATAATATTCTGAATAATTATAATTACATATTTATGGCTAATATAATTATCATTATTTTAATCCTATATCTTTAAATATTTTGGCAAAGATGTCTTCACTTGGGATCTAGTAATATTTATCAATTTATAAATAATTCAATGCTAAAAAAAATATATTCATTGTCCGTATCCTACAAATAAGTACTTAAAAATTAGTAATTCATATAATATAATATATAAAGATACAATTTGACAATTGGAATAATAAATATAGTAAATATAATATATTTATTGTAATTTAATTTAATACTGGTAACGTTCAATTTATATAAATAGTTTTTATAAAAAATAATATCAAACTTCAAATAAAAAAATTTTTTTTTAATTAATTTAACTACTATCTCTTATCTAGGCGTAATTACTCGTGAATACCTTATCATAAAAATACTGTTGGTTTATAACCGATAGAATCGATTTTTATTAATTATTATTATTAATAAATTTATAATAACAACAATAATTATAGTTTTAAAAATATAATAATAAAATTAAATAAATAACTTATTGTAGGAGGACCCTGAGGAGGTAGTGTTGACCTGGGATGTCTAGAGGTATTATCTCCATTGTCTAAAAAAGAAAAAAAAATATAAGACGACAATATTAATAATAATAATCTGGTCTGGGCCGTTCGAATTATTTTTTCAGACAAATTTAGATACGAATTTAAAATTGTTTATGTCTGGAGGGAATACAGGCTAACGATATTATAAATAATTAGAAGAAAAAATTGTATAGTAGACTAGATAGCCAATAAATTGAAAATATATATAAAATTAATAATAATAATTATAATGATTAATCAAAACACTGTTAATAAACAACAAATATTATGTTTTAAATAGTTATCAATTAATAATAAAAAAATAATTAGTCTGAGAAATAAATGAATAAAATATTTTTAATTAAAGATGTTAAAGCAATCGACCCAGTCCGCTGCTGAAGAAGCTTTGTCCAATTGATCCGTCAAAGCTAAATAAAAAATAATGCAACGCAAAAAAACATCGATTAAATGAAAACAAAATTTGATTATCAACAAACGTATTATTATTCAATGCTTGTAAATAAATACTCGGTAATTTTTTGATCAATGAAAAAATCTATTCATTTATAAATTTGTTAATTATTTAATTATACATTAAGGCACCATTGTATTGACAATTATAAAAAGAAAAAGACATAAAAAACAATCATTATAAATAATTGTTTATTTATGGCTATAACTATTTAATATTATAAACATTTTAGTTTTAATAAATTTGTTTTTTTTGCAGCACAATTAAAAATATTAAGAAAAATAAAGTATTGATCAATATTTAGTGTTTATATAGATCTATTAAGTATAAAACTTAAAATAAAAAAAAAATCAAACAAATAACTCATAGAAGAGAATCGGAGTGGATCTTGATGAGATTCTGGTTGAGGGCTTCCTGCCTCCAGGAAGCCCTCAACCAGAAATAAATAAAATTTTTACAATTTTTAAAATTTTTTTTTAAATTAAAAAAATTGTTTTTTTAAATAAATTATGGCAAAAAAATAAAAAAAAAAAAAATTGACATGTAAAAATTTAAAAAAATAAAAAATGGAATTTTTTAAAAGTAATTTTTTTGGACAAAATTTTTTGTTAAAAAAAATAAAAAAATTTTCTAGTGTCTGCTTACTTTAATGTCATTAATTTGATGTATCTGTTATCTCAGTATCAATGTAATAAATTAATAAATTTTAAGTTTTTTTTTTTTACTATATAAAGTATGTTTTATAAATCATATAAAATCTAATTTTTTATAAAAATTACTATAATTATTAAATACTATTATATTTTTTTTTTTTTTTTTAATTTGATCGCATTTGAACTATACTTTGTCAATATATTCATAGTTTCGTTCTTCAAATATTCCGCTTCGTGGAGCAATCCACGGATCATGTTGGAGGCGACTTTCTCGATTCTTGATTGATTTTCTTTTGTGTGATTTGATTCTCCTGACGCACTAATGTCTGACAATGAACCTTCTTTCATTGCTGCGGCTGCTATTGCTGCTGCTGCTGATTCAATGTTTCTGTTTGGCTTTGACAAAATCAACCCCTGAAATTGAACGAAAAAATTTATAACGTCATTTTTATTTATTAACACTCAAGTAAAATCCACTTTTTAATTTTTGCTTTAAAAGTTAATAATTGTTAATAGTTATTAATTTCGGTACAATTTTAATAAGTCAATTAAATTAAATTTTGTCGTAGAATATCTTCAAAGCGTATCGATAAAATTAAAAATAAACAGGTTTATTGATGTATATATATTGAAGTTAATTAGTCGAGCTGTTTAAAAAAATTCAAAAAATAAAATCAAAAATTTTTATTTTTTCTGATAAATTTGGAATTTTTTGTCTAATTGCGATATTAGGATTAATAGACACTTGATAATATTTAGAATTTTTCTTGACAAGTACCTAATTAATCTAAAACAATTGAAAAAAAAAAAAAAAAGAGTAATAAAAAAATTGTGAAAATCTTACTTGAGCTTTATAAGCCGCCAAGGCGACAAGACAGAATACGAGAGCCCTCATGATGTCAGACTCTCTTGATTACTTTGGCAATGATGAATCTCGAAAACTGACTGATGAAAATAACTGAAAATACGGACTTTTTATATCGTGGATCGCTTCTCATTCTCCCCTCATTAACATTGAGGCTATCTGATCAACACAAATATCTCAATACCAGTTTTAAAATAGTCATAGACTAAAATTAATGTCTATGGTAATTAAGCAAGGAGAATAACTAATGAAACCCCCAGGGAAGTTTTTCATTAATCTGTTCTATAAATTAATTTTGAATTATCACTAGTCCAGAAGCATTTTCTACTAACTTTATTGTGGAATTATTTTTAGGTAGTTACAGTAATCGTTAGCATACTTCTTGCACACACGTGTAAAAATTTTGGGTGGAATATATTAATATCATTTTCAAAAATAGTACAATGGTTGAATTTTGGAGAAAATGTTTTTTATTAGATTGAATAAATTTTTTTCAGTGAAAAAATAGAAATCAGCAACAAATCATGTCCAAATTACGGCTGCATTTATAGCAGTAGTAAGCAACGCCGCCAAGTTTCAAGGAATAAAAAAAATCATAAATGAAAAAAAGGTAGGAATTTGAATAAAAGTTCTTAAAATTAAAACTATGGTATGAAATGATAAGTTCATATTCTATTTTATCTTTGATAAAAATATTGATCAACATTCTGTGGTTCTATTACATCAATTTCATATCAAGGAAGATTAATGTTAATTTCAGTAACATATTACCACTATCGGTGATATAATTTTTATTAGTTGTTGATCTGAAATAACAATCATTAGAATTACTGAGATATTGAATATAACATAACTGTATTTCATCATTTGATTAAGAATTAATTGAATGCATCAAATTTGACAGCCATAATTAGGGTTGATTAATTATCGATAATCAATAATTAGAAATTGAACATTATTTGAGCACATTAGAAATTTTTTCTTACTTTTTTATTCTATAAGACAAAATTTTGAAATTGGATCAATTAAAATTTTTTTTTAACTATCAGAACTTTTCTTTGGAATTTTAAATACATTGTTTAATTTTTTTGATTATTCTGAAAACATTCAACGCATTTTTTCAAACATAAACAGTCCATATGAAGTTTTAACTTGATTAGTCAAAAATTAATTTTGACGTTTTGTAAAAAAAAAAAAAATATTATTTCTTGATTAACATATCTTTAATATTTTTCGAAACGACTTGACCGATTGACTTCAAACTCAAATTTAACTTTCATTAAAACCTTTTTATTCCTAATTTAGATCTAATCATCATCATGATCATCATCATGTCATTCAGATATAACGTCATTAATTTTGCAATATTTTTACACTTTCTTATATCCCGTATCAAAAATAGAACAACCAAAAAATTAAAAAAATTGATCAAAATCATGATTAAAATATCACAGATTTCATAATAAAGAATCCCTAGCGGATTCACCGCCACGGTTATAATATGGTCAATTCACGGTCAAACATTGGTCAAACATTAGTATATATGAAGTGATTTGACGGTCTATATCAGGTGTCATTGTGAACGTTTTTGACAATTGATTTACCGACTGTAGATCCGAGAAATACCTTTTTCTGTGAGTGAATTTACGGTGATTTGACCGACATTTCACCATCAATTCACCCGCATATCACTGACAAACAACTAGCTCATTGCGGTCGATTCACCGTGTCATCGTGGGAATCCGATGAAAGAAAATAGGTTCATTCACCCAGAATAATCGATATTAAGCTCGTAAAATGTTCGCGTATACGATAATAATTAAAAAAAAAAAAAATTCATTGTAAAATAACTTGGCCCAGACCGGGGATCGAACTCGGTTCACCAGTTTGAAAGTCGAGGGATTTTCCTGTTTTTTTTTTATAAATGTTTGTTTTATTGAACCCATAGAAAATTTACAATTATTCCTTAAAACTATTTAATGCTTAAACAAACTAAGACAAGCTTTAATTACATTTTTTGATACCCATAATGGCCAGGCTGGGCAACGCAATGCAGTACAACTTTCTTATAAATTCTTGCTCTTTCGAGGTCATTTCAGTTTTTTTTCTTTTTATTTTTCAATTGTATGAATAAATTAATTTTTTTCTATACTGGAGAAGGGTTGTAAACTCCGTTATTGCATTATTATTATTATTATTATTTTTTTTTTATATTTTTTTTTCTTACTAACTAAGGCTTAAACTAAGTGTAAAATATATACATATGTACAAAGGATGATGTGGTAATGAGAAAATTATTTCAACCACCAATATTTTTCTGTATTTTTTCTTTCAATATTTTTTCTGTCTTTTGTTGGAATTGACATGTCAAAACGCCATTTCGGGTTATCTGTTGCTGTGTTTAGGTTTTGTTCGTATAAAATTTCTGTTTGTAATTTACTTCGAATATAATGATATAATACGGGTATATTGTTTCGGTCTTGCAGGTAATTATTTTTGTCCAGGTAGAAAAAAGCCTTTGGAGGCACGTAGCCTTTTTTTTAACGATTTTTCAATGTATTGCTGTTTTGGTATTAAGGACTTGTTAATATTTGAGTTTGTTAGAATTTTTGATGAGTTAGCCCAATGATTTCTGATTAGATGTAAAATGTGTGAGTCAATTCTGGGGATGTTAGCTTTGTCGTATAAGGTTTGATTTTTAATATATTTTTTGTAATCAGTTGTTTCAGTTCTGTACATTTTTAAACAAGTTCTAAAGCATTTGCGTTCGAATGATCTCATTTTTTCTATCATAGGAGCATTTTGGTTAAACCAAATTGGGGCTCCGTATGTTAGTAATGGTCTTATTAAAGATTGATAGCTGGTTATTTTGATTCTTTCGTTTAGGTGTTTATTATAAAACATTCTATGAAGTCTCATGAATGCTGCGTTTGCTTTTTTTTTAATTGATTTTTAATGTGTTCTCTTAATGTAAGATGTTGATCTATTTGGACACTGAGGTATCTAACAGATTGTTTGTGCGGGATTTCATTGTCATTTGATTTTAATTTTAATTTTTTATAGTTGCGTTTAATTTCGTTAGTTGCTGATTTAAATTTCGGTCGGAACAGTATGGTTTCACATTTCATTTCATTAATTTTAAGTCTCCAGTTATTACTGTAAAATTGTATTAGATTAAATTGTTTCTGTAATTTGTCCTGTATTGTTTCTACATGTTTGCTAATGACGTAGGTTACAAGGTCATCTGCAAAGGCTATAGCTTTCGTTTTGGTTTTATTTTTTTCGGCATTGGTTAATTTTCTTTTGTGTCCTCTGTCAGTGAGTCTATTTTCATTATCTGGTATGTCTTTTTCCGCATTATCGTCGTTTATGTCTCCTAAGGAAAGGGCATTACTATTGTATATGTTAAATAACAAAGGTGATGATACCGTCCCTTGTTGAAGTCCGTTGGGTAGAGTATACATATTTTTTGATTTGTTTTTTCCGTCTGTTATTTGGAATTTTCTGTTATCTATCATATTCCATATGAGTTTAATTAAATATTTAGGAAATTTGTATTTAATTAGTTTAAATATTAGTCCACGTAACCACACTGTGTCAAATGCTTTTTCGTAGTCTATAAGACATGCTGCTACACATTCGTCATTGTTTAAAGCTTCACAAATATCAGAAGTGAATTTTGTGATAGCGTGGATAGTCGATAATTTTTTTTGAAAGCCGAATTGGTGGTCTGGTATAATTTTTTCATTATTACAATGGTTTATTATTCTTTTACATGTTATAACTTCATATATTTTTCCTATATTAGGTAGTAAACTTATTGGCCTATAACTAGATGGGTCGTTTTCATTTTTACCTGGTTTTTTTTATAGCGATCACGTCTGCTTGCTTCCATTTTGATGGGAAGTGCATGATATTCATTGCGTTATTAAATAATATACAGTAATCCTCTATAATGCTTATTGGGAGATTTTTTAATACAATAATAGGAATTTTATCCGGTCCTGATGATTTTTTATTATTTAATTTTCTGAAAATTTTTATTACTTCAGTAGAATTAGTAAAATAATCAGGTAGATCTTTAGGATCGTTGGCGGGATTATCTTTTGTGAATAAAGTTAGGGTTGTATGATTTATTTCATCATTTATAATTTCGTCTTTAATAAATAATATTTATTAGAATAATATTTAGTTGAAATTATAATATTATTATAATTTCAACTATATCAAGAATTGCAATGGTATTTATTTGCGAGTTACTTTTATTAACAGCTATGCTGGATGCTGTAATTTCCTTGAAAGAAATCAGCTCTTGAGTGTCATAAGGGCGGACGAAGTAGAGGAAGACGGCTATTATTTGTACCGCAAACACTCGAGTACCAAGTTCCCAACGCTCATAACTATCTTCAGTGCACCCACCTTCCGCGATCATTACAAGAATCACGTTACTTTTATTTTTATTTTGTATAAAATTAAATAATTATGAATCAGATTATAATAATTAAGAATATTTAGGGTAAAAGACCCCATTGGTGGCGGGGACCCCATTACTGACACTTTCTTCGATTTTGGTACTTATTCAATTAATGAAATCATTAATTTCAATAATGAATATATTATTTCTAATCTTTAAGCCCTTGAGATCAAAAAAATTCTTAATTTTTATTCCAAGTAGTACATTTTTTTCATTGAAAGAAAAAGTGCCACTAATGGGGTCTTTTACCTTATAAGTAATTAATAATGTTAAAAATAACGATGTTCGCCTCATCCTTAGTGGCACATCCACATCCATGATTATGTCTTTTTCTACTTAATCTTACCTTAATTTTCTTGATTAAATGGCACAGCCAGTCTTATAAAATTAGCATAATATATTTTTAAGCACCCGTTAAATTTCCAGAATTGTTAGAGATGTTGTAATTAAAATAATACCCAAATTTAAATTACTCAAGTTGTACTTAAAAAAAAATATTAAAATAAATCTTGATGACTAAATTTTAAATTTTCCGAATTAATTTTTTGAAAAATTC